AGATTGGTCTTACCAATTAAAAGAACTGGATGATCAGATAAAATACATAAAACAATAATTTTCAAGACACTGACCATCAGGCAACAAAGGGAAACAAAGAACCATTGTAATACATAAAACATAAAAAGAAGTCCTTTCATTGAAACAGACAAGGGAGATATATATATATATGATTAGGTATTATTGGCATGACAAGAGCCCAGAATAGAAGCTGTATAGTAAAGTGGTCTATGGAGACGGGGACTGTGTAACAACAACTTTTTTTTAAAAAAAAGAAAGAAGGAAAAAAAGATGTGAACTAGGGGGGAGATGGGGCAGGAAGGAAAATGCACAATCATGAATGAATGGAAATCCAAGTTCTTTAGAAACTTTCATTAAAATCTCACTTTAAAAAAAAAAAAGTCCTTTGAGTAGATATGTGGTGTTAAGACTTTATTATTCAAAAAGGCTTCCTTAGCCATTGGTTCATTTTTCCATGTGGACAGATGAGACTATGTGAATAGAGTGTATTAGCCTATTCACAAAACAATTGGTGGCTACACTCACTAATCCACAAGGGAATTGGCTATTCTCCTCATTAAATTGAGCAGATCCAAGAGAAGAATGGTGGAATTTCACCACCAGCAAAGAAATAAGAGAATGCAGCATGACTATAAAAAGAGCAAATGCCACGTGAGGCCATCCATATCTGACCTCTACCAACTTCACAAAGGGAAACTGTCCTCATCCACAGCATCAATAACACAAAACCAAAATCCATGAGGTCAGATATGCCCCACACACTCCTGGACCTCCTCCTACTCATCCCAACACCAATCTTACTGCTTTGCTGGGTCCAAAATGCAATGCAATAACTCACAGACCACACAGACCATAGTGGGGAAGTCAAAAGGTTGTAATCCAGATCAGTAACAGAATACAGACAAGACAGCTTCTGAAATGTGCATGCAGGTACCTCAGCCTTGAGTCTCGGGGCTTTAAGCCAGCGTTTTCAAGTTCTCAGTCCTGCCAATATTGGCTCTCCCCTTCTCAAGGCCCCATCTCACATCAGGTCTCCAGTTCGGCCATTGCTTTTGCTGCAGTAGGTGTAGCTGGAGCAAGAAGGGTGTCCTACATTCTCTTGCTGCTTCTTCTGTCTGACTCTTTCTATTGGTGTACTCAATTTAATGGCAAGACTAGCGAATCCCCTTGTAAAATGTCAAGACTGGCCAATCCCCTTGTGGAATGCTAGATATCCACACTTGAAGATTGGCCAACATGCTTAATTGCATAGATCCACACATCTATACATTAAAGTCAAACAATAGTGAGGAAAAGTCATATTGAAAGATAAACTCCACAGCATCCTTCAGAGTCAGAGATTCTAGCACCAGTCAGATCAAGGCCCATGGCAGCAGCAGCCATAGCAGAAGCAGCAAAGAATCAAAGATCTGACGTGAGACTAAGCCAACCCTGGGACTGCTATACCATGGAACCTGAGCTAAAAGCCTTTAGCTCAAGTTTGTTGGAGGACTTGAGGGTGGAGGAGAGCCATAACTGGAAGGAGTAGGGAGCTCTGGTGGCCTAGTGGTAAAAAGCCACACTGCAATCTTGAAGGCACAAGATTTGAATCTGTGTGAAAAGGTGTGAATCCACTAACTCCTCTGGAGAAGTAAAATCACATTGCCTCCAGTGTGATTAACTGCCTCTGAAAACCCACTCAAGTGTTTGCTATGGTTTGGTTCTGATTTAAATACACAAAACAACAAAGAGCCTTAAGCCATGAAATGAAGAATAAGTTACCTGTAAGCATACTGTAGAAGCTGTTCTGATTAACTGTATTCTGATACTAATCTTTTGACTTCCCTGATATGTTCTGTGTGGACTGTGAGCTAACACAAAAGATTTTGGACCCAGTAAAGCACTAGGATTGATGCTGAGATGAGAATATAGAGGTGTGGGAGAATGAAGGATATGTCTGACTTCATGAGAATTGATTTTGTGTCACTGATGATGTTGATGAGGAACAGTTCCCCACTGTAGAGTTGGTAAAGGTTGGATATGGCGGTCCCTGTGCAGCTCACGCTCTTTTTTACAAGATTATACCAGTTGAAACTCTGAATCTACACAATGAAATAAAGAATATAATTTCATAATGATAAAGGAATCAATTTATCAAGAGGCAAGAACAACCCTAAGTGTTAATGTACCTATTAACTTATTCACTCATTGCTCTTGAGTCAGAACCGAGTTGGCTCACCCCTCCAGTGGATTTTCTAAAGACTATAAATTGCAGAGTAGGAAGTTGCCCCTATTTCTCCAACGGAGTTGCTGGCAGATTCATACTACTAAGGATATGCTGCCCTTTTTTAGCAATGCAACTCAAATTACAGCACCATGGCTCCCCACCTATTAAGAGAGCTTAATAATATGTGAGGCAAAAACGAATATGATTACAAAGAGAAAGATATATATTTTGAAGTTATAGCCAGAGCTTTCCATATTCTCCTTTCACAAAGTGACAGACAAGTAGGCTCCAATTCATAATGGCTCTCTATGTATGACAGAACAAAACACTTCCCAATCCTGTGCCCTCCTCACAATCTCTGCTATGGTAAACCCACTGTGATAGTCACTAAGTGAACCCATCTCATTGCGGGTTTCTGTCAGGACCTGGCTAACTGCTTTGCAGGATAGGGATGCATTGTAAAAACAGCAGGACTACCCATTTTGACAACTCCAGGAAGCAGTATGCTAATGAATAGGGAGTGACCAAAGATCTCAGAATTCTAGGAATGTGATACTTTTTTGTTTTTCAAAACATATAATCAGAAGATGTCCTTGTTTTGTGTTATGGTCTGGGAATGTTTGATCTACCAGTCAACATCTCAGACAGATAAGAGATAA